TGTACTATATACAAAAAAGTTTCAGGGATATGCAAGGCTCCAGCAGAGCTGTCATCCAGCCTGTCCTGACTGCCGTGAATGTGAAAGCGCATTCTTTTCAAGTACACAGAGAACATACATCTCTTCCAGGAAACAGAGGAAGAGGGACACTTTACTTGTAAGAGGCCAGTGTACCCTGGTACCAAAGCTCAATAAATATGTCACAGGAAGAAATATTACAGACTCATGTTGTTGGTGAAAATAAATCCAAAAACCCTAGCAGAATCTTACCCAAGAATGTATGGTTAGTTTAACCTATGAACATCAGTTAACATAATAGATTTGTGATTATGTCTGAAAACTGTCCTCCAGAGTTCATGTGTTAAAGGTGTACTACCTTTACAGCAGTGTCCACAGGTGGAACATTTGGGAAGTATTTGGATCATGTGGACTTTAACCTCATTAGCGGATTAATCCTCTGGAGGTGGCAGAAACTGTAGGAGGTGGAGCCTCATTGGAGGGAGGGGTCCTTGCTGGTATGCCCTTGGATCTGTATCTGATCCCCGACCCCTCCCTGTTTCTCTCTTCCTCATGGAAAGCTCCATACCTTTCCTCTGCCAAACCCTTCTGCAATGATGCTCTGCCTCGTGTCAGGCCTGAAGCAATGGAGTCAGCCTACCATGGACTAAAACTTCTGCAACTGAACCAAAATAAAACTTTCCTCCTTTAAGTTATCATGTCAGGTATTTTGGTCATATTGACAAAAAGCTGACACAACAGTAAAATAATAGAAAAGGGGCAAAAACAGCAATGATCATCCTAATAGATAAAGGAGAAAGTATATGATAGAGTCCAAACCCATTTATGATAAAAATCCTTTGGCCTGGACCAGAAGGAACTTGCCTCATCTGATGAAAAGCATCTCCTAACCCTGCAGCTCACACTATGAGAGACTGGTAAAAGACTGATGCTCCCCCACCCTTGAGATTGGGTGCTCTTAACATTTAACTGGAGATAATAGCCAGTTTAGTAAAGGAAAAAAGGATTAACGATATCCCATTTGGAAGAAAAGTTAAACTGCCTTTACTTACATTATCCTATGTGTATAAAAAAATCCCAAGGAAAAATGTACGTCTTAAGAATATTGAGTCATCTAACCTCTGAAGGGTTGCTATTGCGTATCTTTAGTTAGTTAGGCCTTTAATTCCTCTTGGCAAAATTTTGTAGTTTTTATTTCAGAAGTTTTGTATGTCTTTGATTAACTTTATTCCTGGATATTTGGAGTTTTTCTGTGCTGTTGTATGTAGTAATTTTAATATGTTTATCTCCTGAGTGATTGTTGCTAATATGTAAAAACTTAATTAATTTTTCTTATTTATCTTGTATCCAGCCATCTTTGCAAAATACAACTTGTTCCTTCCAGAAATTTAAAAAATCCTAAGAAATTTATTATAAAACTACTAGGATTTATCAATAAATTCATTATTGCAAGACACAAGATCAGTATATAAAAATGAAACACATTTGTATATGCATACTATCAATGGATGGTCTGAAAATGAAACTAAGATAATTTATACACAGTAGGTTCAGAGAGTAAAATAGTCATAAATTTAATGACGAAAGCATAAGACTTATGAAAACTATAGGTTGTGGAAAATCTAAATAAGTAGACATTTCATATTCCATGTTCGTGGTTTGGAAGAGTCGGCATTCTCAAGAATAACTGTTGCTCCAATTTGATTTATAATTTCAACACGATCAGGTCACAATTCCAATAGATTCTTGTTTGTTTGTTTTAGAGAAATTGATATGTTCATTGTAAAATATATGAAAGGGACCCAGAATAGCCAAAATAACTTTGAAAATAATGAAGTTAGAAGACAAGTGTGTCCAGATTTCAAAGCTTACCATAAAGTTACAGTCATCAAGACAGCAAAATACTGGCACAAAGGTGGATTCGGTGGAACAGAAGTACGAGACCAGAAACAAACCTTTAAATTTATGCTCTGTACTTTGGTGTTTTTTTATCTGTTTGTTTTTTGTTTTTAACACAAACACGAAAGAGAAAAGAGCCTTCAACAAACATTTCTAGGACAATTGGATACCTGTATGCACAAAGATCAGTTTAGACCTTTACTTCTCATCATTTACAGAAATTAACTAAAATGGGCCAAAAGCATAAATGTAAGAGCTGAAACCTATAACCTTCTATAAAAAGGCAGGAGAAGATCTTCACAATTTTGGGGTTAGGTAGGCAAAGAGCTCCCACAGATGCTGCACCAAAGCACAAGCCATTAAAAAACGCAACAACAAAAAAGAAAGCCCAGCCTGGTAGCACACACCTACAGTCAAACTCACAATCCCAACAGCTTGGGAGCCTGAGGAACAAGGACTGCAAGTTCGAAGCTCTCCTGGGCAACTTAATGAGGCCCTAAGCAACTTAGTTGAGACTCTGTCTAAAAATAAAAAAGAAAATAAAACAGGGATGTGGCTCAATAGTTAAGCATCCCAGTACCCCAAAAAAAAAAGGTTAAATTGAGTTTCATCAAAAGTAACATCTTCGTACAGCAGAAGACACCGATAAAAAAGTGTAAACACAAGCCAAAGACTGGAAGAAAACATAAGGAATTGGAGCTATTCTTTTTGGGGGGTGGGTTGAGGCCCTAGAGATTGAACTGAGAGCTTTGAGGATGCTAGGCAAATATTCTACCACTGCCCTGGCAACTTTTTGTTTTAATGAGCAAAAGACTTTAATGTGCATTTTACCAAAGAAGATGCATGGCAACTAGTGGGCTGTGCTGGGCTTTGCACACAGTGTCCCAGCTTCTGCCTGCCTACCTGCCAGTCAGGTGGTGGCACCTCTGGTGGTTGTTAAAGACATTGAGGCTCTGTAAGCCTAAATTCACTGATCAAAATTGCCCAAGTAAATCAGTTGCCAAGATGCTGGGGCCATAAAAAGTGTCTTTTGGTTGAAGCATGACTCACTGGCTGGGAGAATTAATTTGAAGATCATGTTATACCATGTTGCTTGTGTGACATTCACATTGGAGATACTAGACTGTGCTTTTAGAGTATTACAGCCAAAAGTAAAACAACTCCAAATAGTTTTTATTTCTAGCCCAGATTAAGTTCACCCAAAAGAATTGGCTGCAGTTTCTCTCTGTAAACCTATGGATTTTAAAGAGATACTGGACGATTTGAAAGTGGCAAAAGGAAACAGCCATTTTAAGCTATTTAACCTGAAGACATGAAATGGACAGTTTTAGTTTCAGAACTTTGAAAGGGGAGTGGGTCTGTAGGTAAGATTGAACTAGGTAAGGTGAAAATTTGTTCAAGAAAAGATTGAAAGTACATTCAAACTTCTTAGCAGTGGAAGAAAAATAAGAGACATTTACCTTCCTATAGAACCAAGTCTTTGGGGAAGAGGATCAAGTGGAGGAGTGTGTGATGAGTCTGCCACGCACAGGGTGCAACACAGCCACAGGGCTCAGCGATAGATTTAAAACTGAAGAGAGATCAGTGAAAATGGAGTGAATGATACTTCCAAAGATGTTATTGCACTAGGGCAGCTGCAATAAGAAGGAATCACCTTTTTCACATTTTCCCAAAGGTAGAAAGGAATGAGTCCTCTCTCAGGTGTACAATGATATGGTTGGCCCATGGAGCCAGAGGCCACAGAACTGCACGTGGGCAGCACTGTGGGAAGTGGGAAGGCAGTCACTCCTGGCTCAGGGACACTTGGGCTTATCCTAGCCCTGTGATAAGGGAAAGAACCTGGGGAGGGAACATCAGAGAACTGGCCTTGAAGGTGTTCAGAAGACAGCTTCAAAACAGATCTGGAAAGACAAACCCTGTTCTACACAGGATTTGGGATGAGGCCATTACAGGAGAAGAGAGTCTCCTGCAGTTCGAATAGAAACAAAAAATTACTTTTACCTGAGATTTTTTCCATTTAGGTCTGAGATACCTATTTTGATTGGTCTGGTTCTATTATACTGCATTGTCTTCCATATATAATTTTGTTTGTTTGGTTTTTGGTGCCGGGGACTGAACCCAAGAGTACTTCACCACAGAGCTACCTTCCCAGCCCTGTTTGTTTATTTGTTTATTTTTTAGATAGGGTCTCTTGAGGCTGGCCTTGAACTTGCAATCCTCCTGCCTCAGCTTCCCAAGCTGCTGGGATTACAGGTGTGCCCTACTGTGCCTGGCTTACATATAGTTTTTGGGAGATTGGGTTTTGTTTTGTGTTGGTTGATTGGTTGGTCTTTTGGCTTTTTGAGTTCTTTATCCTGAAAAGGTCCCACTTAGGTTCTTCTTTACCCATATATGTAGTTGCTCATATCCTAGTGCATAAAAGGTTTCGCCAAATTAAACCCTGGCTGTCTTTAGACAGCTGTTTTTGTCCTGTGTCCCATTTCCTGACAACTGATGTCAGAGGCCCTGTCCTACACCGTCTCCTGTAGCGAGTGTCTGTAGGTCAGTTGGCGTCTTCTGAGTGGTGGGAGGTCAACTTTCCTGCTTCAGGCAGGCTGGCAGCATTCTTTAAGTCACGCTCGCCTCTGCGCCCCAACATACCAGCTCCAAGATGTATTCCAGACCTGTGGTGTCCAGCGTGACGATCACGCTGGACACCACAGCGTGACTGTGGTTTAAAATAATGGTTTCATTATTTTTGTTTTGTTTTGTTTGGGACTGGGGGTTAAACCCAGGAGTGCAACCACTGAGCCACACCCATTTTTATATATATATATATTTTTTAATATTTTTATTTTTTAGTTATCGGCGGACACAACATCTTTGTTTGTATGTGGTGCTGAGGATCGAACCCGGGCCGCACGCATGCCAGGCGAGCGTGCTACCGCTTGAGCCACATCCCCAGCCCCCATTTTTATATTTTGACACACAGTCTGTCCTTGAACTTGTGATCTTCCTGCCTCAGCCTCCTGATGGGCTGGGATCACAGGCATGTGCTGCCTCACCTGTCCAGAATGTCCTTCTCTAACCAGCTTTCTTTTCAGGCACTACAGACAGCACCTCCAACAACACAGCAACAGTGATCTCCACCGCACCTCCAGCTTCCTCAGCAGTCACCTCCCCGTCTCTGAGTCCCTCCCCTTCTGCCTCGGCCTCCACCTCTGAGGCATCCAGTGCCAGCGAGACCAGCACAACACAGACCACCTCTGCTCCTTTGTCCTCCCCTCTTGGGACCAGCCAGGTGATGGTGACAGCATCAGGCTTGCAGACAGCTGCTGCGCTCCAGGGAGCAGCACAGTTGCCAGCAAATGCCAGTCTCGCTGCCATGGCTGCTGCTGCAGGGCTCAGCCCAGGCCTGATGGCACCTTCACAGTTTGCACCTGGGTAAGGAGTGTCCTCATTTGGTTCACATCTGAGAAACAACTGGGAAGTTGTCCAGGAATGGCTTATGAGGGAGACTTTTTATCACTGTCTTTTGTGGTGTGGGGGCTCTTTAAATGGCCTGCTCTGTGGTCATACAAGGACCTTGATTCCAGAGTTGAGCCCAGGTTGCTCAACACTCAGGTAAGGGCAAGAGCCACACCTTTCTCTCCACTCGAAGACCCAGAGCACCTAGTCACTGAGCACCTCAGCATCTCAGTGATGGGGCTGGGAAGGAAGCCCAGAATTCCTGACTCTCTCTGTGCTTTCTCCACTGAACGCTCAGCTGTCTTCTTTCTAATTCTCAAACATGGATAAGAGAAGCAGTAAGAAGATTCCTGATTTTATGTTATTTTTTTAAATATATTTTTAATTGTAGGTGGACATAATAACCTTTATTTTATTTGTATGTGGTGCCGAGGATCCAACCCAATGCCTCACGCGTGCTAGGCAAGTGCTCTACCACTGAGCCACCACCCCAGCCCAATTTTACGTTATTTTTGTCGGGCATATTATTGAGAATTCTCCTTTTCTCTGAATTTTTTTTGTTGTTGTTTGTTTGGATTTTTTATTTACTTATTTATTTTAAGAATGACATAATTCAAAGAAGAGTCAAAGTAACTGTAAAAGTCATGTGTTTGTGCAGACCATATAACCTGTGGCAAGTAAGCCTCAAGGAAAGCAGGAACTCAGAAGCAGCCAAGCATTAGTGTAGGGAGAACGGCTCCATGTACTTCCCCATCCCAGTTTTTCTTTCTTGTTCTTTGGGGGTGTTGTTCAGCTGACACTGCATCTGTGTGTAATAGTGTGGCCCCTATTTTGACTTGCAGAGGTGCCTTACTCAGCCTCAATCCAGGGACCCTGGGCGGTGCTCTCAGCCCAGCTCTGATGAGCAACAGTACACTGGCAACTATTCAAGGTGAGTCAGGAGTCTCTCCGTGGTTAGCTTGTGCTGGGGAGATGAGGGCAAGGAGCCTGCTCTGCTAGAGGTGAGCTTGATGGAGGGATGGTTGAATGCTGACTGGCTTTTTCTCGAGGACTATGAAAATATCCTTGTGGAAAAGGTTTGTGTTAGTTTGTAAGAAGAATACCCAGTTTGGTATATTTTAAGAAACCAGGACTTTATGCTGATGTTTATTTTCTTATGTGAGTAGACTTGGAGGCAGATTTTTTTTTTTCCTCCAGATAAATTTATCCAAGTGCTCATCTCAAATCTTTCTCAAGGCAAATTTGGCCAAGTAAAAGTCCCAGCCCCACCCTGCCCCAGAGACCATGGGTGGACAATCCTATGGTGAGTGGTCAATAGAGCACATGGGGCAGATTTCCAGGACATTTTTATTTATTTATTTTTTTAAATTTATTTTTTAGTTTTCGGTGGACACAACATCTTTATTTCCTGCTGAGGATTGAACCCAGCACCCCGCGCATGCCAGGCAAGCGTGCTACCGCTTGAGCCACATCCCCAGCCCAACATTTTTATTTCTTGAATGAACATCAGGGTAGAAGGCTCATCCGGGTTGTAGTGTTGCCTCCAAGCCTGTGCTGGGTCCCTGTATGCCCTTCGAGGGGCATGCATTCCACATCAGGAAGGGGTGGTTGGTCCTGCTCTGCATCTGTGTTTCATGTCTGAAGGGGCTGGCTGCTGTGTAATTTAGGAGAGCATCTCCATATTAATCAGAACACTGTTTTCTTGACTACTTAGTGCTTATACAAACATTCTTGGAGCCAAAAATAAGATATTAGGCAGCTTGGATCAAGATTAGTGTGCCATGGGTGTGTCTAGCTGCATACTGTAGAGAATGTTGACTTGCAGAAAAAAACACATCATAGCCCTGATTGCCTGATGTTATTTTGACTTTCTGTTTGACTTAAGTTCTATCTAAATTGATGGTCAGATCTAAAGCTTTTTGTTATACAAGGATTTCTTTTTGGACTAAATTTATAATAAATCACTTTTTCTCGTATATTAGGGAGTATCTCTGGGCTATGGGGATACTACAGAGGTGTAATGCCTGACCACAGATCATAGTCTAGGAAGATCTAGAATTGGTCTGTGACCCTAAGCCTGGAATATCAGGAAACTTCAGGGTACACCAAGTCTCACTTTTGTGTCGTATTTCTGTGGTCACATCCAAAGTCAGGAGCATTCCCTTGAGCTATAGATTATGTTACCAGCCAAAATTTTAGTACCATCAGAAAAACCCTGAAATCCACATATGGGGTGAGGTTATGTGACTGGGAGTGTGTAGGAATGTTGTCAGGTAATAGGGTAAGCTATAAAATGGAAGTCCTAATTATTTTATTTTATTTTTTTAATATTTTTAATTATAGATGGACACAATACCTTTATTTTGTTTATTTAGTGTTTTTATGTGGTATTGGCGTTCGAACCCAGGGCCTCACACATGCTAGGCAAATGTTCTACCGCTGAGCCCTAGCCCCAGCCCCTAATTATTTTAAATAAGATGTTGATGATAGAATTTGTGGAGAACAGCAGCATCCTACAGAAATCCTCCCCTGATGATCACGTGCTGGCCTTGGCCAGCCACCGAGGCCATGTGCCTCACTGCCTCTCTGTCTCTGCTACAGCAGCTGCCTCAGGTCTGCCCAGGAAATAAGAATCAGGCAGACCTTTCACTTTATTTGATAACTAAAGCCTTTTATAAAGACTGTTTTTTTTCCCTCGTGCTGGGGATAGAACTCAGGATCTCATGCATACTAGGCAAGTGCTTTACCAATGAGTGACATCCCCAGCCCAACAAAAAAATATATTTTTAATGCTTTAATGACTTTAGCTAATTTGTCTTTTGAACAGAGGTAGTTTGATATCAATTTCATTGAAGACAAAATTACTGGCTTTAACAAATATTTCTAGGTTAAATGAAATAAACTTAAAGATATTTAAAATATGACTGAGTCATCATTAGACAGTTCTTAAAACTCTCCTTAACCTCCCCTGCTGATACTCAATAAGTTATGTTTCTCAGTCCTTTACATTCTTCAGAATTATAAATAGATTCCGGTTGGTATCAGTGTAGCTCTGTGAGGAAGAAAAGTCAGCAAAGGCTCGCACTTTTTCCTGAGCTACATGAAAACGCAGAGCTGTAACGAATGTGATCCAGCTTCTCCAGGATGACGTTAACCTTCTCCTTCCTGCCTGTTTCTCGGGGTCTGTGTCTAGCCCTTGCTTCTGGTGGCTCTCTTCCAATAACGTCACTGGACGCAACTGGGAACCTGGTGTTTGCCAATGCAGGAGCAGCCCCCAACATCGTGACTGCCCCTCTGTTCCTGAACCCTCAGAACCTCTCTCTGCTCACCAGCAACCCCGTCAGCTTGGTGTCTGCCGCTGCAGCCTCCACCGGGAGCTCCACACCAGTCGCCAGCCTTCACACCGCCTCCAGCTCTGCAGAGTCCATGCAGAACTCGCTCTTCACAGTGGCCTCCGCCAGTGGGGCTGCCTCCACCACCACTACCGCCTCCAAGGCCCAGTGAGCGGGGGCGGAGGTGCCGCCAGGGCCTCCACCCTGCAGTGTGGCCAGGCTGCCTGCCAGCCAGCCAGCCAGCCGCTGCCCTCACCACCTGGTGAGGGGGGAGGCAGGGGAGAGGGAGTCCACATGCCAGAAGAAAGCAAGGATGGAGACGGACAGCATTTGCCTAATTTTATAATAAAACACTGTCTTTTCAGGATTGCTTCATGGATTGGAGAACTTTCTAACCAAAAATTTAAAAAACAAAAAAATCAAAAACAAACAAAAAAAAAACAAGTGGAAGGACTACTTATCATCTCCAGCAGTCGTGATGACAAGCTAAGGTGGGTACCAGTTCCAGTGTAGGAAGGGATTTCTGATTTGTCTAGATTTCTTTTTTCTTTAAAAAAAAAAAAAATCATTTTTATGGGTCTGTTGTACAGGCCATTGAGTCATAACAAGGTGTTTATAATCGTATCAATTGCGTTGGGGGTTCCTTTCTTAACTGGTACAATTTAGGCCGGCCTGTATTACTGTATCTCTATGGTTGTTGTTGTTGTTTTTATATATATATATACATATATATATATAGTTTGGACATGTTTGTCTCTTGCTCCTGGATCCTGTTTCAGTGAGCTCCCACACTGTGGGGAGGGAGGGTTTGGGGCAAGGGAGGCGTATGCTCTTAACTGCGGGGAATGTTCTTGCTGGTTTCCTTATCCTCCACGACTCTTACAGAGGTGCTAGAAAATGATTTTCTTTTGCCACTTATGCAAGAGGCTGGTGCAAAAGCTGAAGGCAGTGTGTGCAGACACTCCCGCCCAACACGCCCCTCCCCCAGCAGGCGTGCCTTTGGAGCACTTTTGTGTAGGAAGGAATTCCTGCTGAACTGTAGCTCTCACTCACCCAATCATGGACCGCCCCCAGGCCCAGATCCTGTAGTGCAGCAGCTGCTTTCCGCGCTACTCTCAATGGGAACAGCTCTATGTGTTGCAGGCAGGATTTGGTTCCAAAGAGCAAAGACTACTGCAGACACCTGACTTGGTGGTTCGCCTGATTTCTTATCTCCTGAAAAATGCTCCTACTGTTGGTGTGTTTGTTTGTTTGTTCATTTTATGGGAGTTTCTCATCCAAACTTGTTTTAATTTCGTTGGCAAAGAACAAATTGACTTACTGGTATCGGGGAACTTTTCCCTTTTTTATTTTCTAAAGGACTTCTATTAGACTGTTGTCCATCAATTGATATATCCAAAAGAGTCCCTGAGAGGAGTCTGAGGTCGCCACCTTTTCCTCTAGAGCACCACAGACTTCCTTTCCACTGGATGGCTCATCAGGCCTAACCTGAACTCTCTGGATTCTCTGACTGACAAGGTACTTGCTGGTGGGGCTTGGGTTCTGCAGAACCTCTGAAGAAACGCTGAGCAGGAACATGGTGCACCCCTGGGGGGCTGCCCCTGCCAGGAAGTCCAACAGCAGTGCACATCTCTCTATTCTTACAGAAAGAGATCAGCTCTGTAACTGTTTTCAGGGTGTTTCTAGACCACATAAATGAGCCAGTGGAAGGGAGGAGCTTGTGAACATGGACCAAGAGGAACAAGGGCAATGTAGAGGTTCAGTTCCCATTTTTGCCAATGTACTTTTATAATACTCTGTATACCAAAAACCTTCCCCAAAGACTGCCTTCCCACCTTGGAGCTTGATCTAAGTTTCCCTTCTTTCTGGAGGTAGAGGTTCCCATCTGGTGTCCCTGGGCACTTGCTTCAGTCTCGGGTGGTCCTAAGACTGCATTCTGCCCCTCTTTGAGCTGGGGGTTGAGAAAGAGCTTTCCTTCCGATTGCCCTGCTTGTGTCCTCAAGGGAGCTGGGATTCGTGTGTTGGCCTGTCCTCCCCACTGTTCAGGAAGGCAGTAATACTGACACAAATGTGTACGTGTGTGTGTCTGTGTGTGTGTGAGAGAGAGAGAGAGAGAGATTCAAGTGGGAGACAGTCAAATTAATATTAAAGGTCAGAAACATTTTAGTCCCCTTTTAATTCTTTAGTTCCTCTTGTTTTATTTCACAAAGTATTTAACTACCACCCCTAAATTTCCTCTTACCCATCATTTTCCCTAAAATCCCTCTAAAATCAGTGAACTACAAGCAGGGAAACTAACAATGTTTATCCACCTTTCTGTGTGTGGTGTGTGGTTTTGTTTTGTTTTGTTTTGTTTAAACTAAGCTTGAACCAAAGTCAATTTTTTTAGCAAGCTGCTGTACTAATGGACTAGTTTATAACATGCAGTTCAGACACATGGAGGAGATAGATGCTACTGACAATTTCTTTTTCATTTCTTTTTTTATTTTATATAAAAGTTGCTGCTTGTTTTTAATCTTCTATGTTGGTTAATTGTAATATTCTCTGGGCAGACTTACCTTGATTTTTAAATAGTTTATTTAGGTTGGTATGTAAATAGAATGGCTCTGTTAGTTACTAATTTCTCTCCACTCCATCAACTTTTTCTCTGTTGTAGTTAAATGTAATATAATCTCTTATTCTGACTTGACATCTCTAATTTCAGTCTGCGTAAATGATTTTAGGGCTATTACTGTGGCTGCCCATAGTCACAAGTCCCTCTTTTGGGAGTGGTGGAAGATAGGAGGAAGGATTCCGGAAGAGAAATGCAGGTAGCCACCATACTGGATCCGAGGCTATAAATCAGTTTCCCAAATGTTACCAAAGGAAGCATAGAGCTTCAGGGGACTCTGGCTATGCCCAGTGAGTTCAGAGAAAGGCTGTTTTTGTTATTGTTTTCTGTGTAGCTAAAAAAATGATCCCTTTCCCAAATAAGCTTCACCAACAAACTCCAGTACTGAAGAAGATGCTAAGCTTTAACTGTCAGCACAGTGATCTTTGAGTCCCCCACCCTATCTATATTCTAATCACTTTGGAATATGGGGATTCTGTCTTTTTTTTTTTTTTTTTAATGTGAATCACTTGATGGGGGTAGACCTTAAGCCAGCATAAAAACCTCTGTTGAAAAAGTAAATCTTTAGACAAGGGTAACTTTAAAACTTTTTTCTTTTTTTCACTTATTTAAAAATAAGTTGTGAAATGAAAGGTACTTTTACGCATGTACACATGAAACACTAATAGAGCTGTTGGTGGGGATCTTGTTTAGAATCAGCTCCCCATCATCATCCCTGGAAACTCTGCTGATCATACTGCTTCATGATCACCTTAGTCCTTGTTTATTTTATATCATTCCTTTTTTTTTTTTATCATCTCAAATGATGCTCTTTGAATTGAATGAACTATCTCCTAAGGTGCGGTACTCAGACTTAAATTTTGGCCACCTTTTCTGGGAACAGTCTTCAAACTTAAAAGGTCCAGTTGACCAAAAAGAAATATTTGATAGAGTTTCTGCATCTCAGAGAGGAGGAACAAGTAGATCATTACAATGCATTGCATTGTTCTTCTGTTTTCCCCTTAATGTTTAGACAAGTTTTATTTCATCCCTGAATTTGCTTAACACATTAAGCCAAAGACTAATTTTAAATGCATCTATAACGATACTGTATTTGCCCATGGTAACAGGCCATCCCTAGGGGTGGTGAATGTAGTTGTTTAAATCCTGCTTATCATGAGCAATGCAATTTGGTCATGAACTTTATTTATATCCCATGTAAATCTGAAGGACAGAGCAGAAAGACCTGAAGGGGGCCTCTCACAGGAACAATATCATTGTTCTAAGAAATAAGTTGAGTGCTGTTTCTGAAGTTCAAAAAAATAGGCAGCTTTTTAGAATTAAGAAAAAAAATATTTATATCACTTGGCTGATGTAATACACACTCCCATTTATTTATTGTCAGAAAGGTCAGTACCTTCCCAACATACTCAGCTTGTTGCTTAAGAATGGAACCAAAGGAATCCAACTTCCCTCTTATGCAGGAGCATGCCTATTTGTACTTTGTGGTAGCATTATTAGAAGTGAACTTTTTTTAGCAAAAGGGAAAATATCGATTTAAAAGTTTTTTGTTCATCTTGCCGATTCATTCTATAGCGTTTGTTGGGAAAGAAAAAGCACAATTATGCCTCTTTTTAATGTTATTTTGCCCATCATCTTTCATTTATTTAGGAAGATGGGGAAATAGTCTGTGTATTATCCAGAAGCACAAATATTTGCTTGACACAACATCTAGCCCAATCTTTAAATTCTATTTAACGTGCTGGAAAAACCGAATATATTTGCAAATATAGGTAATTACTGTTAGTTAGAAATCCCGATTGAAAATGTTGCAATTAGGATAATAAATACTTGGTTCACAGAGAAGCCCTCTGAGAGTTCATGGTCTAAAGTGGTTCCCAAGCTATATCATCCTCACAGTCTTTCTTAACAAAGAAAGAAATAAGATCCTTGAGCTAGGAAGCAGAGGAGAAGCCTCTTTCTTTAGTTCCCTCCCCCCCCCAAAAAAAAAAAAATGCTGCCCAGGTATGAAGAAGTGAGGACCCTCCTGTGGGCAGCCTTCTGTGGCCTGGCCATAAGGAACCCCCAAAAGCCAGCCTGTGATCTGAAAACCCTTGGTCAAGGAAGGGCTGCAACAATTCATTAGGAGAGTTTGGCCAAATACCTTCTCATTAAATCAGCATTTAAACTTGAAGAATTTAAAGTTTATTTATTCTTTACTCTTTAGACTGCCAGTACTGATGGAAGAAAAAGACTAAAAGGTCTGAAATTTTAAATTACCCAGAAGGAACAGGAATTGGTGGATGAATTTGCTTGTGACCACTGTGAGTTCACTGTGTGTCTGTGTCTGTGTGTGCGTGTGTGTCTGTGTGTACGAAGCACTTAATGCCTCATACTGCTTGTGTAATCATAGCCCTGGCCATTCTGAAGTCATTTTCAGTTTGTAACATTTTGAAGGTGATACTTTATAAAGTGGAAAATCTTTTTTGGTTTTTATCTTTAGTTTTGAGAAGGAAAAAAAAAAAAAGTCCCTTGGCATTCCTCTGAGAATAACTGAGATGAGCTGTGTGCAGCCTGGGTGGCACCTGCGATATGCACACAGTGGGGGACAGAAGGCAGCAGGGTCATCCCTGACAGCTGACTGGAGTTCTTTGCCGGTTCTGCCCGTCCTTTTCTTACTCCAGAGAGATTCAACAGGACAGCCTTGAAATTTGCAGCAGGACTTGAAAGGGTCCTACCAGGAGGGCAGGGAACACGTTTCTTGAGTTGTCCAGTTTGCATCCAGTTCTCTGGGCTAACAGCTGTCGCTTTCCATGGCCCTCCCTATTCTTGAGGCACAGTTACTTATTGGACTCTTCTGCCCTGGCCTTTGTGGGACTCTTAGGTGGCTGTCTTATCTGGGTCTCCTTCCTTCCCCTCCTTCCTTCTCTGTGAATGTGGTACCTTAGTCTGTGAGGCTGATTGATGCTTGTGGGTAACCGCTGGCTTCTGGCACCTTCATAAAATACCTCAGCATAGCTTACGTGTTGCAGAATTGGTTTAAACTAAAAACCAAATAAATAAAAGAAAAAACTTTATAAATAGTGGAAATAATTCTAGCTGTAGTATTTAGTTAAACTAATGTTCATTATCATTGATAAACATGATTGATGCTGTATGTATTTGGGATCCTGTTTATAGGTTACAATTTACAGGGTTAGGGAGGGTTGGGGTGGGGGAGAAGATGATTATGTTAGAAGGAAAATGTTGTTGTGTGTGTTTCCTTAAGTCTGTCCTGCCGAAGGAAGCCTGGTGTCCCTGGGACTGGGCTTGGGATTTACAGCCCTCTGAGGTCTGGTGTGCAGGGCTGGGCAGGGCACAGTGGTGTGTGCGAGTTGCCACGGGAGCATTTGCAGCTTTTCTATGGCTGCCATGTCCCCAAACATGCCAGCCTCTCATAATGACCATTACCTCTGTACATAGCAGACACTTAGGCAAAGGATGAGTGTAGCCATCCGAGTGTTTGGGGAGAAGTAGAGACAGAGGAAGATGCACACCAACTCACTGAGAGAGAGCATTGAGCAATGGCCCTGACCTAGGACAGTTAAGGTGATTCCTCGTGTCATCCTCTGTCAAGCTGTTGAATGTTGTGCTAGCAGCCCAACATTTAAAACCTCACTTCCTTTTCTCAAAGAATAGTTCTGTCTAGACCAGAAACACAAACAGAAGAAAGACCACCAGCCTGCTCCTCACACCTGTGACAAGGTGCAGCCTTTAAGGACCGGTTGGTTGGTGGGATGGAGGGGAGTTCTGTTCCGAGTGGGGGCAAAGAGGAGAAACAGTGGTGGTCAGGAGAATTGGGAGCCCTTTCTGCCCATGCTCCCGGCTCCCTGAGTTCAGGTGTAGAACTCCAGAAAGGCTTTTATTTGAATAAGTGATCCATCTCACAGAACTTACGTGGGGTTTGGTCTGTGACCAGAGACACTGCTGTGTCATTGCTTATCTTTGGTTTTCAAAACAGGCAGAGAGAAAGGACCAAAAAGCTGGAATTTAGAAAAGTTTGACCTTGTCTCTTCTTCCCCTCCTTCCCTCCTACCCATTTTTTGAAAGTCTTACTGGTTATTCTGCCTTTCGAAAAGAGATTGGTTTTGTGTCCCTCTGCTGGCTCTGTGAAGATGGAGTTGCTCCGTGTGGCCATGATATTCTTGGAATTGCTGAGAAATTTTGGGAGGGCAAAAGATGGGGTAAATTCTTTATTTCCATTTATCTAATCCTCATAAATAGAACTGTAGAGCCTGTTTGGGTTCAGACAGTGTTTAGATGTGGTATCTGTCCTGTCTCTCCTATGAAGCAGCATTTTCAAGAGCAGGATTACAAAGGAAACAAAAGCTCTTCCCTTCTCCTGTAGAGCTGTTTTGTTCCCAGATGTCTTTAAAATATATGGTTCTGGGAAGTTGAGTAGTCCTGTCTCAGTGTCCTCCAGACAGGGCACGTGCAAGGGAGAGGGAAGGGAATAGGAATAGTTGCTCTCTTAATCATCCCTCAAAAATGATCAGGGTGCAGAACCTCATAATAGCTTTCCTAATAATCTTACTGTTCTGACATTATGTAAAGGTAGTCTTAATAATGTGTGACTTTTTTAAAAGCGCTAGGTAGGTTTCTAAGTAGGTGATAGGGATATTGAAGATAAGAGCACTTGAAACAAAGCTGTGGGAAGACAAGGTGTGCATAAGGACCGCGTGGAAGGAAGGCGCTTACTGTTGCTGTGTCCCTGAGTCTGTCCATGTGCCCAGTGTCGGCTTCTGGTTCAAACCCAGGATGCTGCCAAAAGTTAAGACCCCCAAACTAATTTAGTGTAAAAATGTTAAGGTCTGCTGCAGGGTTTTCCCTGTTCACTAGATCGTTGTATGTAAGTTGGCCACCACCTCACAAGAACAGATGGAGACTGCTTCTGTAAACTGGCAACAGCTCTGACTTCTCCACCATTGTACCCCAAGTCTGCGGGCGGACAGCTGGGGACAGTGCTGTTTTAAAACGAGACATCTGGAAACCTTAGTTCCTTGAAACCGGAATCTCTTACAGCAGAGCCTGATCCCGTCCAGCCCCAGGCATCCTGGAGTCTGAGAGCAAGGGAGGCAGGAAAGCACTTTCAGAGGCTCAGGTGGCAACCTAGGGACAGTGCATTGCAGGCGGTGGGGGGTGCCCACCTCTAGTTCCATTCCCACATGAGTCTGCAGAAGGTGCCCACTTCTAAGAGCAGAGTGAACTAGTGCAGCCTGATGGTGGTTAAGACTGTAAACAATGGGAGAAAGCGGGAGGGATCATAGACTACGCAGATGCAGGGCACGGACTCTGCAGCAACCAGTGTGTCTCCTCGAAGGTTGGTGGTGGGTAGAAAGAGCCTTCTCCCAGCTCTTGGCTCTGCTCACCTGGGCACGTGCGAGGGTCCACCAGGGTTCTGACCCTGCAGGTCACCGCCTGCACGGGACAGCAGTGACAGAGGCGAGTGAGGAGCACAGAGTTCTGCCCACCTGGCGTGGGAGCTCTTGTATACCTCATTGCTAACTCGTGACTGAGTGGCTTGCTTTAACTTCCTCTCAGCCCCACAGAGCTGCCCAACCCACCCTCCCCTTTCGGCAACGCTGAACTCTGGCCTATAGCATTGTGGGACCTGTCTAGGGTGGGACCCTAGGAGCCCCTGAATGCCGCTGCTCAGAGGCTACTGCGAGCTGGGGCGGGTCGCAGCCCAGGGTTCCTTTTGTTGCCAGGGTCTTCCCAGGTCTCATAACCTGGTTGTCCTGCCACCTGCCTTCAGGGTGCCAGCTGTCTGCGCCCCGCCCCACCCCGTATTTCTGACTCTGGCCACAATTTGACTTCTGTCCTTGCCTCTCCCCAGGTGGGGTCTAGGCCGTCTCCTTCCCCTGAGACCTGGGTGGAAGGGAAGACACCAAAGGTCCCTTGGAGTGGACTGCTGCGTACACATTTCACTTTTTTCCTTTGACACGACCAAAAAAAAGAAATCCAAATATTTAAGTTGTTTTTTATTATTATTATTATTATTATATTATTATTATTATTTGACAATCTTATATTCAGTGGGCTCTTCAGAAGCTGCATCCCCAGCCCTTCACCTTTTCTTTGAATGTAGTGCTTGGCCTCCCATTCCCACCCGTAAAGCTGAAGAAACCCTTCGCCAGGTCTCAGACTGCTGCTATAAGCCAGGGGAGGGTGGTTTCTTTGTTTTGTTTTGTTTTGTTTTTAAATTTCCAGCCAAAACCAAAGATTTCTTAATGATTGTATAAACTCAAAACAAACAAAAAAACCAAAGAAAAGGGAAGTAAGTCTTCAGCATCAGCCAGTTCGCCACGTCCTGGCACTTGGCGCAGTGGGGCCGGGCAGGGGCCTCGGACTCTAAAGGGCGGGGAGCTGTTTTCCACGCCGGGGGTTTCCTTCAGGTGTGTCTCGGTGGCTTTGGCGCTTGCCAGCTTGTGAGCATGCCAGGAAGCAATTGGCATTTCAGATTTCCCAAACCCCGTCACACCATACTCCATCCGACTGCAAGCAGGGCCACCAGGGGGACTTAGCACAGGGACTAGGGGGCCAGAGCCGCTGCTGGCCAGGCCACAGGCCCCGCAGAGTGGGGGAAGTTGGGACACTGCGCGGTGGTCCGCTCGCAGGGCTTTGGTCAGGGCCTCGGAGCTTTCCTCTCTCCCCCACTGAGCTGCTTGGGGTGGCCAGAGGCCGCAGGACGCCCATCGGGCACTTCGCTTCTCTCCACTGCGGTTTGTCTCCCCTCCCAGCACCACTGTGCAACTATGCATTGTACTTCACAACCTCTCGCGCGAGGTCGATGCCTGTGACGTTTTAACCTGGGGGGTTGCAAATGAAGGAACTTTTTACATGGATCTTTTTAATCTCAGTTGATTGGGGGAGGGGGGTATTTGGTTCTAGGGTCATACAAGCTCTATCCCAAAGCAAAATCCAAATGTTAATAATATTAGCCTGATGCAGATACCAAAGAAAATTTCTTTCCTGCAGAACCTTAGACTTGTGTATTAAGTACGATTACCCAGCACTTGCATTAGTCTAACCTCAGTAATTCCAAAGCTTAGATGTATATTTTGGTATATTTCTGGGATTTAAAAAAAAAAAATGTCGTTTAACTTCTTGTTTGTTTCAGTGTAATGCTCTTAAAGTCATAGCATGGAACTAATTGAACTGTCCTATTCTTAGTAGTTTGAAATAATAGTATTTTTGTATGTTTTGGGTGTGTCTGTCTATGTATTAACATAACAGTTTTCACTGCCTAGGTGTTCATAATAAAAAAGAAAATGAAAAAGTTGTGAGTGTACATAATATTCAGTAATAGTCCTCCACCAAGTGTCATCTGGATCACATCGTCACTGATGACTGTGCCCAACTGGGTTTTGTTTTGTTTTAAAGAAGCAGTGATTGTGTTTTTCTAAAGATGCTTTCTTTTTCTCTGTCTTCAAATACCTTAACTCCCCCACTTTTTCTTCCTTTTTCTTTCTTGTTCTTTTTTAAATTACTGATTCAGGGGTGTTTTTCCACTGTTGTCAAGGGAGGGGTACAAGGGGAATTGTCCCCTGACCTCCTAAAACTTCTTGTTTTATGTACTTTAAAATGTGAGTTTGAGTTCTTCTTTGTGGAAACTTAAGACGTGGTGTAAATGATTCTTTCCAAAATTGTCCAGCAGCTTTAATGAGGCAGTGACAAGTCCTAAGTAGTTTACTGGGAGTCCTTTTACATTTCTCCTTAGACGACTTTGCAGTCTGGGTGGCTATTGTATAGCCTCACTGCCCCAGAGCGCCTGTGTAGCCATTTCCCCTCAGGTAGAAATATTTTGTAAGAATCAGCTGATGACTTGGAGCACTGAACCTTGTTATCTGTGCCCCTGGGAAACAGAGGTTTCCTGGTTTTGGAAACCTCAAACAAAGCGACTTTACCTGCTGGGGAACTAGCAAGCCTCCCAAGCCTGTGGAGGTGGTGGGGACTGTGAGAGGTGCTGTCTCTTCAAAAGTGCCCTTTATGTGACCCCCTCCTGCTGCCCGCAGGGCTGAAGGCTTGGGAGAGACTGCATAGGTGCCAGTGAATCAGAATGAATTGGTAGATTTTGTGTAGATGCATTTGTCTGCTGTAATTTTTATATATATATATTAAACTTACTGTAACTGTACAGTTCATTTCTGTTGTAAAACATCATTAAACCATTTTTCAAGTGTTTTCACATGGTTTCTGTGAGGTTGCTGTGTTGGTATTCTGGATCCTTCACCCACCTTCTCGCAGATGACTCATATAACCCTTCCAGGCTGCATTCCACAGCAGGTGCTCTCGGGAGCCCCGAGTCTCCATCCACTCACACTGGCTTTGCTCCTACCCTCGGGCTCCTGTGCACATAGCTGGGGAGCTGTGGCACTGAGTTCCCCTCCCCAGGCTCTCAGGTGGTCTAGAAGGGACCCTGTGTTGAACACAAGTGCTCTGTGTCATCAAACATGCAGGCTCTTGCTTGATGATCCTGACAGGGGACTCTTCAAAGCTCCCCTCCTGCTGTGCAGGTGGGACTGCAGAACTTGGATTGAACTCCACTTCCCTGGATGTATTTTTGGCGGGCACGCCCGTCGGCACATCTTGCCAGACCCTGAGCATCTCGTCTCCCCGGAGTCCTCTGAGGGAGGCTGGTCTCCTGTGTGAGGGAGCGCACCCGGCAGCCTCTGGCTCACTGTGCCCCTCAGCACTGCGCCTTCATGGGCCACTGCAGGGTCCATAGGAAGGAGAGTCGAAACTCAGGTGAATTTTCCAGAGAAAGCCTGACCTTGTCAGAAAGCTGTGGGGTCAGATCCCCCAGGACGAGGTCTTGGTTTGTGAGTTTGCGGAAGAGAGTGCCCATCTCAAGATGAGGCCACTGTCTCACAGAAGGTCCGAAGCGAGGAGACACGGGGTTCCCTTCTCGCACTTACAGCTTGTGTGTGAGTTTGTAAAGTGTCTTCCTAAAATAATTTCAAGTTCTTCACAGAAACTCTCTCCTTGGTAAAGACAACATAAGACAGACTTCAGCACGTGAAAACCTTGTGTCACATCCTACGGAATAGGGTGAAGGGATGGGCCTGAGTCTGCGTCCCGTTTCGTAAGGTAGGTCTGTTCTGACGGCTCCTGGGGAGGGCGTGAGCAGCAGTGCGAGGGGCTGTCACTGAGGCACAGACATGGTCAGGACTCGACTCTGACTCACAGAAGTGACTGCCAGCTCACCGAGACCCCCGGGGCCGCTGGCAGCAGGAAGCCCACACACCCCAGCTGGCCAAACACCAGGCATGGCCAGCCCCTGGAGGGGTCCTCCGCGCTGCTGCCCCACTTGACAAACTCTGGGCTCCTCGTGCAGGCCCAGCCCCTTGTGTCTGTCTGTGCCAGCACGAGGAACAGGGCAGGTCTTAACAGTCATGTCCTGCTGGGCCTCAGGAAGGGCCTCAGGAAGGGCCTCAGGAAGGGCCTCAGGAAGGGCCTCAGGAAGGGCCTCAGGAAGGGCAGGGCAGCCACGCTCGCCCTTGCCCGCGGGGCCGCGTTCTCCCAGGAGCTCTGCCCTCTCCACTCTCCTCTGTGGGCAGCCTGCTCCTCTCCCAGCCGCGCTCTGTGCAGCTGTGCTGTTGGGAGCCGTCCAGCCCGCCCAGCGCACTGCTGGCTCCCACCCGCCGTCAGTGCAGGTCCCACAGCCCGTGGGTAACTCCGCGGCTCCAGGAATGAGGTTGGGTTGGCGCAGCCCTGGGTACGGCTCGCTCATCTCAACAGACAGAAGCAGCAGACTTCAGCGTTCGAGGCTCAGGAGTGCACTCCCCTGCGAGGCTGCTCCCAGATGGAGGTTCTCCTCTCTCTGGGCTGTCCCCTGTGCCTGGCAGCGTACAGAGTGCTGTGGGAGCCCCAGGTTTTTGGGGGGTAGGTGGCTTTGCACTTCTTGACCAAGCCAAGGCTCTGGCTTCACAGTGACCTCACAATGTTTAACAGGTGGGCTCGACGAGTTGGGGCTTCACAGAGAGCCACCGCTATGGGTAGGGCCACCTTCCAAAGGGAAACTGACCTGAAGACCTCTTGCCCACCACCCACCTGTAGCCCTGTGGGCTGAGACATTGAGTGCGGTGGCATGTGCTACTATTGACTCCTGGGCACCCTCTGCCCACAGCATCACCCACTTCTGGCCTCCGAGGGAGGGGGTCTCCTGCCCTCCAGAGCTGGGCATGATGATGCAGGGCTCCTTGCCCGTTGCCCTCTCTGGGCTGGGGCACAAGACTGGGCCCACACTCCTATACTGGGCACTGCCCTCAGGAGTGGATTTGGCCACTACCTGAGATGGCTTGGCAGGCACTGACCCCATGGCAGCACTCTGGGCTGGCGCACCTATGTCCACCTGCATGTTCCTGGCAGAATAGGCGGTTCCCCCGGAGCAAGGGTGGCAGTGCTTTCCCAGTGACCGACTGCGTCACCATCACAGATTGACTGCTGAACAGAGCTTAGGGGACAGCACCGGTTTCACTGAAGCATTTATTATATGAAATGGGCTTTAGCGAGCCAGTATAAGTTAAAACCAAGCAGAGCAAAGAGGGTTTGCCACCCACAGCCACGTGTCCTTTAGTCACCAGGACGGGCTTGCCATTCCCTGGAGGCTGAGGGATGGTGCCTGGGAGCAGGGCAGGAAGGACTCCTCCCTACTCACTTCCACGCTTTGTTCATAATCTTAGTGACACTCCGTGTTCACACTCCATTTCCTATTTTTTAAACCAGATTGTGCACAACTTATTTTCCCTCTTAAGAGTGTGAACCTGTGAGGGCAAGGACAGCCTTGCACGTTTTTCCACCCCCCACAGTGCCTGGCATGCGGCTTGGTGATGCAGAGGCATGTCTGATGGAGGACTGCCCCCACTGGTCCTTCTGCCCAGCCCTTCCACAGAGTGGCCCAAGCACAGGTTACCTTGGGGGGGGGGGGGGGAGTTGACAGCAGGAGCGAAGCCACTCAGATTCCTGACAGCAGTACAGACAGGACATGTGCTGACACTGGGGCCTGCCCTGGACTTCACAAGGCAGACCTAACCCAGCTGTGAGGGAATTGTCCCCAACCCCAGGTTAAGACATGGAGCCAAGGGAGAGGGCTGCTCTCCAGGCACCAGCAAGTAAGTGTGAAGTCCTAAGGGCACGGCCTTGCCCATGACCATGGGCTGCACTCCCTTGGAGCCCAGGGACATGTTCTTTGTGCCAGGGCTTGGAATTGGAGATCAGCACATGTCACAACTGGGAAGCATCCTGTTTGTGGAGGGGAGTACTTCAGTGGCTGAGAAATATGAGGGAAGGCGGTGGTAAAGGGCTCATCCTGTCTTACAGCTGGCATCAGCAGGTCAGGCCTGGGGCTGGTGAGGCCCACACTGTTAGCGAGGGGGCAGGGCCTGCATGTGGAGAACATTGTAGGTGTCCTGGGTGGCTGGACTGAGGCCCTGGTGAAAGCAAATGGGAAGAGTGGTCAGAACCCGCAGCCACCTCCCCATGCCCTGCCCCCGCCTCCAGGAGCCATAGGTGGGCCCCTGGCTGGGGGGAGCTGCTGGAGAGAAGGCTCCCCTCCAGCTGGGTGCTCACCTCTCCCCAAGCTGCACCCCAGGTGCCTGGACCAGGCCCCCTTCCTGTCATCAAGAGGAAGAAGTTCCCCCACCTCAAATACTGAACTGCAGTCTCAGGAAGGGGCCAGGCTTGCTCCAGAGAATCTGCTGGTCTGATACCTGAGGACTAGTCCTAGGGAGAGTGGCTGGCTGCTGTTCCCAGACCCTGTCCCTACAGTGTGTTTGCCAGTCATGTAATAATTGACACTCAAGGTGCCCCCACCCCACTCTGGTGGAAGGCCACACCCTTTTCCCAAAGCCCAGCAAGGCCACTTTTGATATCACTGTCCTATGGCAAGCCCGCACCAGGAAGCCTGGAGAAACTGGACCGCTGGGGACCCTGGTAGAGAAGTAGATTGAATATGCTCAGTTTGCATAATCATCTGCACTGATTTGCATGAACCAGGCACCTCATTGTAATGACAATCTTCCTTTTGAAGTTGCCCTTTCTCTTCCTTTTCTTCAACCTTCCTGCCCATCCTCCCTGACCAAGGCCGACTGGAGGCAGAGAAGGCCTCTGCCAGGACCCAGCCACAGATGTGGACAGTCAGGGGTCACTTGTGTAGGAGCCTGTGCCCACAGCTGTCTGTTCCTTTGGGGAGCCCCATACCCTCTGGACAGTGGCCTCCTGTCTGCTGTGGCGTTGTGCATGGGGTGCCCACAACCTCCTGGCTGGAGCCACATAATCTGGTGGAGTGGCTGGGTCCCAGCCCTGCGCAGGGGCTTAGGGCAGTGGGGTTGCCGCTGGCCTGCAGGAGCCCCTGAGCGCCTGCCCTGCTGTTGGCGAGAACTGGTGCCACTAGCCACGAACCCTGGGCCTCAGTCTGGCCCCCCGGGAAGGAGGCTGGGCTCACCTGGTACAGGCCGTCTTGCGCCTTGCCTCTCCGACGCTGTGGAGAGAGAAGGGGTGTGTGGAGTCAGCATGGGCTCTTGCTCAGGCCCCACCTCTGGGAAGTCAGGTGACTGTCCAAGCTCTCCACACCTACCCCGCCCTCCGCCCCAGGGAGAAGGGGCCCTGCAGAGTAAGGTCAGGCACAGGTGGCTCTGGTGGAGGGTCTGCCCTGTTGCCCACAGCTTGGAAGTGGCCCCCTGCAGCTCTGGAAAATCTCGCCTGCTGTCCGCTCACCAGGAGTGGCTCTGCACAGTGGTCATGAGCTCCGGGGGAGTCGTGGAAAACCCCACTCTCTGTTTACTGCGTGACCTGGGGTGAGCCATTTACCTTCTCGTGCCTCGGACACACGAGCCTCACCAGGTCTGTGGGGACTTCGTGGAACCCCCAGTGCGAGGTGCTGGCCACGTGGGCATCATGGACACACAGCGCCCGTCAGAGGGACTCGGCATGCCCCCTCTCCATTTTGAAATCCTTGATCACTTATGAACAAGGGCCCCTGTGCTTCCATCCTGCCCTGAGACCCCCGTCCCAGACAGTGACCGCTTGGGCACACCTGGGGCCCTCAGTGCTTCCTGTTAGGAGTGAGGCTTTGACTCGCTTCTGCCTCCTGTACTGTCCTCCTGGGGAGCCCTGGAGTCACATTGCCCCTGGGGGCCACCACATGGGCTTCTGTAAGTCTCAGGAGGAACAGGCGGGAGAGGGATCCTGTGGCAGGCATGCCTGGAGGACGCTGAGGAACCCCTCAGGAGTCCAGCAGCACACTCACCTCTCCTTTCGTCCCAATCTCACTGTAGGCCTCCGCCATCTTCTCTCTCTGCAGTGCCTGGAGGAGAAGGCAGGAGGCACTGATTTACTGCAGAAGAGAGTGGGCTCTGCCGCCAGAAAGCCTCCGGATTCCCCAGGGACAGGGTTGCACCATCCCACCCCAGCCTCAGGCAGCCAGCGTCTCTCCACCAACCACTTGCTCCTCAGCCTCTGGGGATGTGCTCCGAGCTGTAGCTCTTTGCATGGTGAAGTTGTAGGCCACGGCAGGGACACCGCACAGTAAAGGACTCACCAAGTCCCTGATCATTTATTTGAGCAAGTTGTCTCTACACAGCCAATGACACGGGCTGTGGATCGGCTTTCTGCAGAGCAAGGGCAGAAAGCTCCGAGGGTGGTGGAGTGGATATTTCAAAAAGAAGCAGCACTCCGCACACCTGTAGTCCCGGCAACTCTGGAGGCTGAGCAGGATTGCCAGTTCAAAGCCAGCCTCAGCAAGACCAGTCTCAAAAAGGCTGGGGTGGAGCCCAGTGGTCAGTGCTTGCCCAGCATGGGGAGGTGTGAGCTTCAGGTCAGGAAAAAAAAGCACTCAGGAAAATGCCAGCCCCCAGGAACCGCAGCCTAGGAGGGGCTCCCACCCAGCCTGGCCTGCCCGTGGCCTCCCTCCCACAGGCCGGTGGACCTGGAAACTCCAGCAGCGGGCTCCAAGCTAACAGAGCCAAGGCAAGGGCAGGGGACAGGGGCGACACCTTTCCTCAAGTAGAGGCACTGCAGGCTGCAAGCAGAAACCAGGCAGGGACACCTGTGGAGGAGAGCCCCTCAGCCCTCCCGCTGCCCTGACGTGAAGTCCTCCCTACTCACGTTGTACACGCCGTCCTGAGGATTCTTCCTCCTCTGCTAGGAAAGAAATGAGGGAACGTCAGGAGGGGAGGCTCAGGCCACCAGCGAGCCACAGCCCATCCTGCCCCAACCTACTTCACCTGCGAGATCTGCCACCCACCTCCCTCCTCCCTGCCCGCCACAGCCCAGGGAGGCCACCTTCAGGCCCCTGCTGCACCAGGCGGCTCACGCCCGGTTGCCAGCACTTGGAGACACACTTCTCCTGTTTTGCCCAGGGTGGCCTCAGGGTCTCTGCTGACAGTCTGTTTGACCTCCAGAGTAGTTCATGTGTGTCTAAAGCATTCTATGTGCTCAGTGTGGTGGTGGCGCACTCTAGTCCCAACAACTCAGGAGGCTGAGGTGGGAGGATTGCAAGTTCAAGGCTAGCCTCAGCCACTCAGTGAAGACTCGTCTCAAAAAGTAAAAAGGGCTGGGGCTGTCGCTCAGTGGTGAAGCATCCCTGGGTTCAAAACCCAGTGCCAAAAATAAAGTGAGACTGTGGCTGAGGACAGAAATATTGCAGGCCACCCCGTTTGCAGGTCCTCTCTTCATGCAGAGAACAGGCCCTCCTTTCCCCCTCCCTGCAGACCTCCTAGTCCAGGGAAGAGGAGGAAAGAGGATGGGAGTCTTCAAGGAAATTGGTGGCCTCTCCTATTACCCATTCCTTCTAGCAGTGCACACCCAGCCCAGGGCTCCGAGGGGCTAGGGAAGGGCTGATGGCAGGTGTGACCCAACACATCAAGGGCCACAGGGCAGTTTCTGCCTCTGTTGGAAACCCTGCTCCTGAGAGGACTCTGCTCTGGCCCTGTTGTCTGTCCCGCTTGCCACCAGGGGTGGGGTTGACAAAGCCACCGAAGCCTGGCTCTGAGGAGGCCCTGGAGGGTACTCAGACCCACAATCCTCGCTAAGTGGTCGTAGCCCTTTCTGTGTGGACCTTCTCGTCAGGTCTGTCCTCCTGGGGGCAGGTGGTGGCCCCATGTGCATCTCGAGGTGGCCAAGGAGCAGTTCCCAGGACAGCAGCTGGCGCTTGGACACAAGGCCCGCAAGTATTCCTGAGCTCGAGGCCCCTTGTAATGCAGAAAGGAGCCAAGGAGGGGGACGAGAGCTGGCAGCCAGCCAGCCGCCACCTCACCCCAGCCCCATGTGTGCTGGTGCAGGGGACCCACCCACAAGCCCACCTCCACACAGGCACAGAGGTGCTCCCTACCTGCTTCCCTCCCATCTCAGGGTCCCGGCCCCGATGCTTATCCAAGACATCGTAGTCCTCTCTCCGTCCTGGATTGAGCTCCTAAAATAAAAAGGGGTCAGACATGAGGAAGAGGAACCCGGGGAGGATGGGGCCAGAGGGACGGGGGAGCCTGCTTTGCTTCTTGGTGGTGGTTCACAACGAAAGGGAGCAGGGAGAGGGAGGTGGTGGGACCTGGTCCATCTGGATACCGTCACCTGAGAGAACCTCTCAGAGCACGATGGTTACCATGACCGTGGGAGAGACCCATAGTCACCAGATGCTTTTCTTACTACGTGCTGGTCAATCAAATGGGACAAGTAACAACATTCCCAGGAGCAAATAAGGAAGCCCAGGCTGCTAGAGGGTCATCAGTTGGACCAAAGTCCCACTGAAAGGGACATGTGATTGTCATCCTCTGCTGGGAGGATTCTCTGCAGCCTCTAGCCTTTGCGAGTTGCTGAAGGCCGAGCGGCTCCCTGGCGGCTGGCTACATCTTTGGCTACACCGTGCCTCACATGCTCACGGCATCCCTGCCATGTCTCATGGGGTCAGAAAACGGCAAACTACTTGCCTGCAGGTGACAGACAGACAGGTGGACCAGTGGACTTACATTGTAGAGCTGGTTTGAGCCCTGCTGCAAGGCGGCGACCTCTGCACTCCTGCCAAACTGCAACAGAGCAGCGGGTTAGGGCTTCATGGTGGCCCTGCCCTGCCTGTGCTGCCTGCAGGGGTCTGAGGCGGCAGCCCTCTCCTCCTGAGCTCAGCTGCCCTTTCTGCGCCTGCCTGTGACTTTGTCCCGGAATCTGAGGTTTCCTCTCCCAGCCAGTCGCCCTTGCCCACAGAGGTGCAGGGTGGGCATTCCAGGGACTGGGAACAATCACAGTGGTGGTGACTGCACAAGTTCCTGTCTCGCCCCCTGGGCCAGGGCTTTTGTCCTTCCCCTACCCTAGCCCTCTACCTTAGCCCTGCGGCACCTGAGCAGGAAGCCTCAGCCTTGGGCTCCGGCACTTGGAGCATCTGCCCCAAGTTCAGCACAACTTGGCTCTTTCTCCAGGCCAGGCCACCTCAGTGGAGGAACTTCGAGGCATTAGAGTCAGGGCACTGGAAAGAAACTTGGAGATCAGCCAGGGCTCCTTTCCAAATTAAAAAAAAAAAAATAGAAGAAAAGAGTCTTTTTTTTTTTTTAAGTAAAATCTTATGTCAGAGCACAAATTCCAAGGGGGAAATGGGTCAGAGGGCACTGGAGTGATGACAGACAGTAACCTCCACCCTCTGTCCACACCAGGTCCAGCCCCTCTAAGAAATCTGGGGTCTCTAAGAAATTCACCAGCCCACGGTGAAATCAGGGCTCTGAGCCAACTGAGGTTTGTAGAGAAGCTGACATGGCCTCAGGTGGCAGCTGGTAGCAGGACTTGGGAAGAGGCTGTGGGTCCTCCACCTCCTGACCATGACACCTGTGCATAAGCCCCTTGCTCTCCAGCGGTGGCCCCTGCAGGGGACGCTGCCATTCAGGCACTGGTGCAGCACCGGCTCCCCCACCCCCATCAGGCTCAGCCCCAAATATACACTTGGGTCTGGCCCTGCTCTGCTGTGGGAACCAAGCCCCAGGTACCACCAAGCCTGAAACTAAGACCAAGGCCTCTCTGTACTCTCCCCAAGTGGAGAAGCCTGCACCCTCTCCAGAGCCCTGGGTACCCACCTTCGCTCTCAGGAACAGGGCAGTGACAATGACACCGTAGATAAAGAGGATTCCATCCAGCAGGTAGCAGAGTTTAGGATCCAGCAGGCCAAAGCTCTGTGCCTCTGTGTCAAGAGACCCTGGTCAGCCAGGCCCAGGATAACAAGAACACGTCCCACCACCCAGAGTAGCCCTGTGACTGGGTGGCCAAAGCAACCATGACAAGGACATAGACCCCGTCCTGCCATCCCACCTCAGCCAGCTCCTGGAGCAGCTTGCCGCCATGGTGGCTGCGTGATACCTGCAGGAGTCCCAGAGCCTGGGAAGATGGGGCAGGCACCCAGGACTGCTAAGCTGTCCACCACAGGGCTTGTGCCCTGGGAGCCTGGCCCCAGCTGCAAGTGAGCCCAACGTGAGCCGTGAACTCAGGAAGCCTCAGCCAGATGCCCCCATCTGGATGACTAGGGTGTGTGGCTCCCAAGGCCCCCCACCGAGAGAGCAGGACTCCGGGGCCTGGGAAGGGTGGGCTCAGAGACTTAGTGGTGACGTCAGGACGATGAGAACCAGGGTCAGCTCTACCCTCCTGACTCCCAGCTTCCTCACTGCCAGGACTCTCCACCCCGGTGGTGGCTCTGGTGCTTGGCTTCCTACCCCCAGGCCCCAAGGGACCAGAGGTCCACCTCCCTCTGGGGCCTGAACTCCCTGTCCACCAGTCCTTACCCCCTAGACACACCTCTGTGCCGTTGCGCACACTGCCCACGCTGCTCCTCTTCCTCCTCCTCCCTAAAATCCTGCCACAGCAGTCCTCTGTTCAGCCTCTCCGCTCCAAGTTTCCAGGGGTGCCCAGCTCCCGCTGCCATACTGACCTTCTCACACTGCCCTCAGTGCACCCTGAGCTGGTACTCGGGCACAAAGGGCAGGGACACGGTCCAATAAATGTGTGGCTTACATTTTCATTTAAAAGATTCTGGCACCGTTAGGGAGGGGACGCAGCTTCTGGGCTGGACGCAGCAGCTGGTCCCCCTCCCTCCACCCCAGCCAGGTGGCCTCTCCGGACGCAGGCGCCCTCTGGTGGCCGCAGAGGGCTCAAGCGGGCACAGGGAGTGGACAAGGTCCTGAGGAGCGCGCAGCCTTACTAGCTGGGTGACTTGGGCAAGTTGACCCCCTCGGCTGCCTTCTGTCAAGAGCATGGGAACTGCCACATTCCTTCAGTGAGCGCGTGGCCAGCGCTCACCGCCATGGTGTGGTCTTCCTCAGATCCTCCAAGCGGCCCCAGGCGCCAGAGCTCAGGAGAGAGCTCACAGGGAGGACCCTCCCTGCCAGCGACCCTTTGGCTCCCCCCACAAGCCGTGGAGCTGGGACTAGGCTGCCCCCCTGTCCCCATCCCCACCACCCTCAACACCTCTGTCCACGGCCTTTGGTGCCCACCCTGATTCAGGACCCCTCCTGGCCCCAGCCAGCTGATATTTTTGTCAACTTCCCCCAGTCCCTGCTCAGAGACTGGCTGACCCAGGCCCTGGCAGGGAAGCCCAGCTCCTGCCGCCAACCAGGGCCCACCACCCAGGTCTGCCTCAGCACCCCAGGCCTAGACAGCCCTGCTCACTGCTGTCTCTCCTTGACCGCACAGTGCGGCCCTGCGCCGGCCTTTGCTGGAGCCAGTACCCTGCAGGCCTGCCAGTGCTGGCACTACCGCCTCCTGCAACCCCACCCGACCCACCCTCTGTGATGGCACAGGAGTCAGGAGGGCGGGGACCGGCCCACTGTGCCGCCCCCACAGCCCTTTCTTTAAAAAGCAATTCGCCTGCAGCCCCCTGGCTAAACCGGACACTATGCTCCTCAGCAAACTACCCGCTGTCTACAGAAGTGCAGGCCCAGAAGGTCCCTCCCACCTCACTTCTGCGACCCTCACACATTCCAGAACTCAGGGACATAAGGATAATTCCTCCAACCATAAAATCTGCAAGAACGACTTCCCGTTAGAATTGCTCAGCATGGGCCAAAGTGACCCTTTACCATGCACAGTGGGGACTAGGAAGTCTGAGACAATCCTACTGTTAAAAGTCAAGAGGTAGGGGGCTGGGGCTGGCGCTCAGAGGTAGAGAGCTGGCCTAGCATGGGCGAGGCACTGGGTTCAATCCTCAGCACCACATAAAAAAAAAAAAATAAAGGTATTATGTCCACCTACAACTAAAAAATAAAGATTAAAAAAAAAAGTCAAGAGGTAGCCGGGCACAGTGGCACACACCTGTAAATCCCGACAGCTTGGGAGGCTGAGGCAGGAGGGTTGCCAGCCTCGGCAACTTAGTGAGGCCCTAAAAAACTCAGTGAGACCCTGTCTCTAAATAAAATATAAAAAAGGGCTGGGGTGTGGCTCAGGGGTTGAGCACCCGTGGTTCACTCCCCAGCACCAAAACAAACACAAGTCAAGAGGTGGACCTGAATGGGACTCTCTGGAAACTTTCCTGTGACCCTCCCAATAAAACTGGAGGGCAGGGGGGGTGCCCCCTCCTCTCTGAGAGGACCCACCCTCCCTTGAGGTTGTCCCCTTCTCCGTCGTCCTCTCTTCTAACACATTTTGCCGTTCTTTCGCTAAGCTGGGGTCTTGCCAGAATCCTCTCGGGCAAGAACACAGCATGTGGGTGGTGACCCCGGGGTGCCCGGCTCGGGCTGTGCTGGCACGTCTCCTGGGCAGCCCACAGAGCACTCCAGGACGTAGCAGGACTTGCGTCCCTCCTTGGCCAGGAGCACCGGGACCCCTGGGTGCCTCTCCACAACACTTGGGCTGACCCTCGGCGAGGCCCTGAGGGCTCAGAGACCCTCGGCCCCAGCCAAGGTGCCCACAGCCAGGGGCGCTTTGCCTTCTGGGCTGGAGAGGAGACGCTGGTGGCGATTTATGGGGTGGTTGAGATTCATGTAAAGGGCCGAGAGAAACGCAGAACAGAGGATCACTGGATGTGAATTCAGAACAGATAGGAAGCAGCGTTTCTTTGTGTCGTGTGGACGCGGCACAGTGGGGGCAGGGGGTTGGCCGTCTTCCTGGAGATGAGCGACTGCCACAGGTTTCCTTCCTGCTCTGGGAGCAGCAGAATCTTCCGGCCAGGGCAAGTGGGATGCTGCCCCGTTGCTTGGGGAGGAGAAGGACATGGACGGCACACCCCTCCCCGGCAGGCTCCCCATCCTCCGTCCCTGTGCTGTGCGGGGAGGCGAGGGCCCAGAAAAGGCAGTGAGAGCCAGGACCCAATTCAACTACGCCATCAGATGATTCGGGGGCATCAGCTCTGAGCCGGGGGCTGTTGAGGCTGAGGAGCCCCAGACCAGAGACAGGGAGACCCTAGTACCTCCCCTGCCACCTGTTAACTGCATGGTCTTGGGAAGTCACCTCCTGCTGGGCCTCAGTTTCTTCATCTGCAAAATGGAGGGCCTCGCGTCTACCGTCAGACTGTGGTGAGCACTGAATAAGAAGGCACCAGCAGGCAACCAGTCAATGACGGCTTCCAGCTCCTCCGCATGGACAATGGTGTCCAGAGTCTGGGTGGGGCTGTCAGCTCAGCCCTCAAGGCCACACATGCAGGCTGCCACACATGCAGGCTGCCCCCCAGGATGCCACCTCAGGGCACGTGCAACCCCTTGCTTCTCAGCCCCAGGCAGAGCCTGTTCCCCTTCTTCCGGGCCTCCCTGCCTCTGGAGGCACAGCCCTTGCTGTCTGCCCGACAGCCGCGGCAGGCTCAGGTCGCGAGGCCCCTCTGGCAGCCTGGCGGGTGAGTTTGGTACCCTTGCTGCCACCTCTTCACTGGCCTGTCGCTGCCCTCGAGGAGGAGAAAGGACGCAGCCCTCCGTCGGGAAGACGCGGTCACACTGGGTCCGACACTGACTGGCATTCGGGGGCAGCTCCCTTAGCCCTTCCAGCATCAGTTCCCATCCACAGAAGCAGTTTGACAAGAAGGGCATCCCAAGGCAGAGACAGAGAGCAGGTGAGACCAGGTGTGGGGGACACCTGCCATCTCTGGCAGCATCTTACTCTGCTGCCGGGCTGAGCTGGAGCTTGCCAACCGCCTGCTTCAGCCTCCCTCCCGAGTAGCTGGGACGACAGGCGCACTGCAGGGCACTGGCTCCAGGGCCCTCTGGCCACCCTAGAGGCTCTGCTGGTGCAAACAGCAGGAACCAGCAGGCCTCCCATCTGCCACCCCTTCCAGCCAGAGTCGGGTGGAAGCTGCCAGGCTCCTTGGTTGGCGAGGGGAACACCTGCCTTTCAGGGGTGTGAGCACCCAGTTGCTGGTGACTGTGGAGGGAGGGCTGGGTGCACAGGAGGCGCTCGGCAGTGTGGGCGTGCTGAGAATCCCGGCCTCACCAAATGACGCCCTCGTGGGAGGACGCACCCTGCATGGTCTACAGCATGCTTTGCCCTCCCGTGATCTGGCTGCACGCTCAGACAGATCTTGTTAAGGCCAAAAGGTTGCACAGCGGGAAAGCTCTGGAGGGCACCTGATGCAAAGTTCCTCTTCTCTCCTGTGTGTCCCCAGAGACTTGAGTCCTTCTGCAGGTTTCCCTGAGCTGCACCTCCCGCCTCTGCTTGAACATCTCTGGTGATGGGGAGCTACTCACTTCCCACCCACGAAGATGGAGAGCTCTAATCTTCAGAGTGTAAGAAAGTCACTTTGGTTCCAGTTCTGTCTCCAGAAGCCCAAATTATGCAGAGTAGGCCATTCTACAGGGAAGCCTTTCCCGGCCTGCTCACGTCCAGTTCATCTGCCCTTCAACAGAAGCACTTAGGCGCCGCAGGTGAGGACGAGACCTGGCTCATCTACCACGTGACCCGGAGCAACCCTGGCTCCTTCCCAGGGCGTGCGGCCCTCGAGTGGGGTGGACTTGGCCCTTGGTGAGTGCTCAGTACACAGGAACTAATGTCACCAGTATTAATCACAGGAGCCCACGACCAAGGTCGGAACGGCCACCTTCCAGGCCTTCTGACCTTCCTTACTTTGCACCCCCAACTTTGAGCCCGGGTCCCACTACTGCTCAACCCCACTCCCAGTCTCAGACGAACTGACAATGACACTGCAGGCTAAGAATTTAGAAAACAGGAAGTCACATGTCCTCAGGAAGCGGTGGCAGCAGCTCTGGGGGTGCCTGTGCTGGGCAGGCTGCTGGGTGTGACACCAGCCCACTGTGTCACAGAGCACCCAGACCTTCCCCTCTGGCATTGCCCCCCTCCCTGAGCAACTTTCACAGCAGTGGCTAAGCTACAGGCCAGACAAACAGAGTGACGATGACAATCACACGCCGAAGGGGTCCTGTGCCAGAAATCATGTGTGAGTTCTCCCATTCACGCTTCACAGTGATTCTGGGAAAACTAGGCCAGACAATAACATGCCTAAGGTCAAGAGCTGGGGTTGGACCCAGTTACCTGGAGCCATACTCTGTGTTCCAAGCCACCATGTGGCACTGCCCGTAGATGATACATGTTCCTCAGGGTTGGGGACTGGAGCCCCACAGGCTGTGGGGGTCCTTCTCCTCGGGGGTCAGCTGCACAGCAGGCAACATCCTGACTCTACAACTGGCCTTCCTTCTTCGGGGGCCAGTGTGCTGAGAGGCCTAGGGGAGCTGGCTGCAGATGTAAGGCCAGGACACACATTGCCAATGCCCTTGGAGGCTGGCCCGCCAGGACCCCCGTCCCCCTGCAGAGCATGTCACTCCTGCTGTAACTTGCCCGACAGCCCCACCCCTTCCTCAGATTTCGGGTAGTCTTGCTTTATTGTACAGTGGATCATCTGGTCACAACCACCTACAAATTCGATGTGCTCAGTCAAAGATTCCAAGGTAGGAGGGAAGAAAGAGGCTGTTTGGTACCTTAGGGGTAACAGGACTATGGGTGGGTATTTCCCTTCTTATATTTTTATTTCCATTAAGGTTGTTATGTTCTGTGCAATACTTCTAATTTTTATGTGATCCTCTTTCTTTTTATTTTCAAGTAAACCAACTCATTCTGAAGAAAAAAAATAGAGAAATCAAAATCACCCATAATTTCCTGTTCAAACATAACCACGACTAACGTGATACCATGTTGCCTTTTCAAATTTGCTGTTTATGATTTGTAATCATTCAAAAGCAAAAAAAAAAAAAAACTGTCCTAAAAACACCTTGGGAATATATACACACATGCATAAAGCAACGTGTACAGAGAGAGAATTCTGACGCCAGCTCGGGCACCAGGTCTCCCAGCCTAACAATTACATCCTTCGCAACATTTGCTCCACACACTTGGTTGGAAAATCCTTTGATATTTTTTATTTCTTTTGATCATGAT